GTCGTCGTCGTCGTCGTCGTCGTCGTCGTCGTCGTCGTCGTCGTCGTGGTGGTGGTGGTGGTTGTTGTTGTTGTTGTTGTTGTTGTTGTTGTTGTTGTTGTTGTTGTATGTTTATGTTTATGTTTATGTTGTTGTTGTTGTTGTTGTTGTTGTATGTGGTCGTTGTGGTGTTTTCTTGAAATAAGTCTGAGGCCGGGCTTGCAGCCTGGCCCTATTTGATCTTTTTTTTGGTCCAGCTACACCGGAGAACACTGTTGTTGCGTGTTCGAAGACGATGTGTTGTTGTTGCATCACGCAATTGGCAGCTGCCTCGTGGATATATATATATATGGATTTGTTTGTTTCAGGGTTTGTGCACGTACAGTATTCCCACGCATCCAAGGGCAGGCGGCAGACCGGATTTCCATGAGCAAGCTGTGCTCGCCGAGCGTGCCTGCAAGAAAACCCAAATCTACCAAGATTTATACCCAGAGCAGGATTGGGGCACTTTGACAGAAGTTCAATCAAAACATAAACCGTTATCATGTGTTTGGTTTGCCCCGACATGATGAACACGCAACCTGTTGCTGTCAAACACCGCAACGGCAGTGTGCCCTGACCAGGACACGCGTTTGGACAAAATTGATCTCAGTCACATCAATGCTGCAAACGTGGAGTCCCCGGAGGCATTCCCATTCCGGACGAATACGGCGAGCCGGTCCTTCTTCGGTGATCATGAGCTGCAAGTGATTGACGAAGTTGCAGACGAGGCCAAGCATGAGATCAGTAGCGAGTGTCACAATATACAGTGGATGATTGAGGAAGGTTGGAAACAAGACTTGCATATCAATTCGTTGCCATCGCAGCTGCAAAACTGCCTTCCAGAGTTACATCCTACTGATGGCCCACACGCTATTTTTGAGCAGCCAGTTGAGCGGGATCGTGCAGAGTCATCATGCATGTGCAGCTTGGTGTACACGGCTGACAGTCAGTAAAACTGACCATCAGGATGGAAGATGGGAGCGAGAGAGACAGGGAGAGAGAGAGAGAGAGTTTTTGGGATTTGAGAGCACGAAAAGAGCAAACAGGAACACAATATATAAAGAGACTGAGGGGTTTAGAGAGAGGTTTATGAGCATGTGTGTCGGATTGTGTGGGTATTTGCACATATACTGTAATATAAATGTATATGAATTATTGCTTGCAAGGCACCCTTGCATTGATCCACAACCGCTACGACATTTTCACCATGCCACAACCGCCTGCAGCGAAGCTGTTGGAGAAGCAATGGCAGATACTTCAGCATATAGTCAAGTGGCTCCAGCCAACGAATGTGTCTCGGCAGAGTTGTTGTCAAAGGTCACGCTGCGAGCCGAGGTGTATACAAGCATGAAACAGTTACTGTATATACTGTAGAACTAGGTTTCATGATATTTCATGTGTTGACAGCGTGCCCCATATAGCTGCTGCGGCTTGCAACATGCAGTTCGGCCAGTACAGGAGAAGATCCATGCAGTTCTAGTTCTCTTGGCCATCCGCTCCCTGGGCAAATCAAAAGCTGTGTCTAGTCAGATAGCTTTGAGTGAGCGGAGCCCGGAACATGTGGTGCTTGCTTTGATCGATGAGTACCAAAATGTTGTTCCCTCAGTCAAAGGGCTGAGCGATGTGGGCATAACTTACGCAAAGGGCGCCTTGAGGTTGCATTCAATGTTCAATTTGGCACAGATGTTGCAGGGTGAAAATGTACCCGCCAATGTTTGCCAGCTACAAGAAAGCATCAAAAGGGATGGAGTGGAGGCCTTGCGCTTCTACATACTGTTCTTGCTGGGCTTTATGAGCGGCTTGAATGCTGGGCGTGGATCAAAGTTCCTCACAGCAAAACGAGCGGAAAGCTTCATCGAGGGAGTCCGGGTCCTGAAGTACTTGCTTGATGCAGCCCCCTGCGGAATATACTGGGGCTACTTGGATTTGTTTCATTCTCTCGGCAATGATGTACAATTGGAAAGATGCAGCACATCCAACTGTCTAAGATCCAACTGTGGTAGTAGGGAGTGAAGCATTCACATGGCCTGCAACGATAGGTTTTGTAATTATCGATTCATAACGTTTCAAGCATGGAATGAAATGGGTGGCTCCTGGCCGATTGGCTCACAGAGGCTTCTTGACAGCTCGTGCCCACAGCCTCGGTGTTCCTTGCCAGACTGCTGAGGCCGGAAAATATTGTAGCTGAGAACAATTATGTACAACAAGACTCAACCAGCCAGCGAAGCATCGCGCTCATTCCGCGAACTGTTGCATGCAAGCATTGAAGACGCAGGTATTTACCGTAGGCTTTCATGCAAGCGCCTTTGCGCAGCTTGCCATGCAAATGCGTGTGCACAGCTTGCCATGCTGCGTGTGTGTTCTTGAATCAAAGCTCATATCATACATGTGATTGTGTTTCTTTGTTGCTGATAGTTGTCTCTTTGGCTCGGACTGGGGGCACTTGCCGGCCGCCAGTCACATTAAGCTGCTGGCTCAGCATGTCTGAATAGTTTTCTGATGTCCTTAATTTCAATTCTCTCTATATATTATATAATCCTCTGCCGAATAACCCCTATAGAATGGGGGGAGGTCGAGCTCCAAAATGACTTGGCATTTTATAGAGAGTTTTTTCCAGAATCAAATGTCAACCTACCTGAGACAGATCCACTCTGAGGATCTCTGAGGTGAGAACATCATATATTGATGGGTCATTAGGTTGATCACCCTCATTTTATAGAGAATTCATGACAATTGAGAACATTTTATAGAGGACATGGTTTTGATTCTATAGAGAGAACCTGGAACAGTAGAAGGTTGAGAGTTTACTTTAGAGTGGATGGATGTTTTACAGTGAGGTAGGTTGGATTCTGATTCTGATTTCACGAAATATCCGGCGCATTCTTGTGCAATCTGGTGCATGCATTCCCACATTTCCTGTGGAATAGCCTTTGAATATTGGCCCACTATAAAATGATTTTTTGTTCAAAATTCAGCCCACCTTTCTAAAGTAAAAAAATCTACCTGTGAGTGTCCAACCCTGTCCTTATAAAATGAATATCAACCTCTGTAGACATATCTTGTTTTTGGAGTGTCATTTTCTGGAGTGTCATTTTCTGTCCATTTTTTTAATCAAATGAATGTCAACCTTGCAATGTTCAATCATGTTTCAGGGTTGAAAGCTAGATTCTATAGTGGGGCATTGTGCTCCCAGAGCCTAGTTCAGTCATTTATCACTATAAAATGGGGTTCTCAACCCCCACCGGTTATTCCACAGAGGATATTATATATATAATATATTTTTACAAAAGGTCAAAGGGCATGTAGCATAAATGGCACTAAACTGTTGCAACCTTTGTGCTGTGTGCTTTAACTCTGTGGTCTTGACATTGGCGCTTGACGAAAGTCTCAAAGCTGGACGGATTGGACCTCAGCAAGATCGTAGCTCCACTGCTGCCCTCGGCCTGCAACAAATCAAGTAGGATTTGTTCCTTCAGCTGCTTCCGGTTCTTGAGCCTAAGAAACTTGTCGAGTAAATTCGATCAATGTGTTTCTTGTTTGTAACGAAGGGTCCAACATCTAAGCGCCTGAATTTTCAGAAATTGATGAGTTGTGTTTTTTGTTTTGCTCTTCTCTTTGGAGAGTTTCCATCGGTTTGGCGCACTGGACGGCTCCATGCGACTGTGACACCTCCATTTAAGATCTGGCTTTCTTGAGAAGGAATTTGAATTTGATAACACTGACTTGGAAGGCCTTTAGCTGCGTCAGGAAAGCAACTTGTTTACACACGCCAGGGCTGGTGGCCTGAAGAAGTCACCCAAACAACGCTTCCTTCAAAGTAGGGTACTCCCAAAATGGATAGATGGCACTGAACATGTGCAATGAATAGTTCGTGCCTCAAACAACATGCACAAGGCCACGCGCAAATCAGGGCAAATATGAGACGTAGATGGCTCAAATAGTGCGTGTGGTCAGCCAAGCGCAAAGGAATGCAATTTGGAGAGGTAGATGGCAAATGTTGTCCAACAATAAGCATATTCAATCATTTAAGGTAGGCAGGGTCGGTGATGATGAATTATTTGGGAAGCTTCGAATCAACGTCTCCCAATGTTTGAATGCTCAAGCCAAACTGGGGAGACGCCCCTTGAGGAGCAGTGTCGCTGCTGGTACCTCAAGCTAAACTTTTTCTTCCCGGTTCTGACGCCATGGCAAGCGCCGACGAGCAGATCCGCCGCTCTGCTGAACAGCAGAAGCTGGAGCGGTGGTGCGCTGCCCATGGTATCGAAAGGCCCTCCGACTTAGCGTTTTACTTCGTTACCTACGAGGAAGCGCTGAAGCAGGGCCGCGCGGTGGCGGATGCCTGGGACCAGGCGCGCCGTGAAGCGGAGCTGGGCGCTGGAGCCCTGGTGCGAGACATCGTTCGTCGTGAACAAGTTTCGCAATCAGCGCCGCGGCCTACCACATCGCCACCGTTGAGGCCACGACCTACCCCATCGTTTGCGGGGCCAGTCAGGCCCAGCACCCAGGGCCGTCAGTCGGGCGGCCCTGACGGCGGTGCCTTGACCTTTCTGCCTCAGTTGATGGCCATTCTTCTGGCAGTAGAGCCCCCGCCGGCGGCTCGCTTGGCCGAGATCACCGCCAACTTCGAGGCCAAGCTCACGCATGTGCTCCAGAAGGCGGAGGCCGCCACTGTGAAGCGGGCATTGCACACGTGGCAAGAGCTTCAAGGGGTCATTGCGGCCGCAGGTGGAGGTATCCCGGACAAACACCTCCTGGCCACCTTCATTCGGGAGCACAAGTCCCCTACAAGGGCATATACCGCTCTAGGATGGATCGTCCGCAACCTCAAGTTGCCATTTGACCTCTCCGAAGTGGTGAAACCTCGGGCTGGTTTGGGATCTCGCCTCGGTCAGGGGCAGGCGCAGGCGGCGACTTTGGAGCCATCTATGGTCATCCACCTGTTGGGCACCTTGGAATCCACCGTTGACAATCCTCACTGGCCCATGGTGTTTTGTGCCTACGCCCTATGTTTTGGTGTGGTCAGGTACACCCATTTGCAACGGAGCTACTTGGTCGGCGGTAACGGGGGCATCCTCGTGTTGTGGTGCACGAAAAGTAAGACTGGCAGTCGTGGTGGCTTTGCCTGGAGCGTTCCGAGGTATTGTGGCACGTTGGACCTTCTACAAGTGCTAGGTGCCCATTTGAACAAAGTGCGCCCCAGAACAGGCGCCGGCTTCAGGCGCTGGCATTGGTTGGGGTTCGACTCGGCTACAGCCCAGCCGGTGGGCACAGCACAATGTGTCCGGATCCTGCGGCCCTACCTGAGTGCAGCCATGGACGTTACCAGCCTCTTGTCCTACTCGTTCCGTCGCGTGCTTCCGACTTTGGCAGGGTATGTGGGGCTATCAGAGACAGAGCGACTTGCTCTTGGACAATGGGTGGATCAGTCCTCCAAGTCTACGGCTACCACCCCTCTGCGATATGACTCGCGGAAACAACGCCTGGGACACCAGTTACGCTTGGCTGGCTTGCACTTCTTCCAGGACCTCAACATGGCTTTGTGGGACGAACTGCCTACCGGCTATGCCTCGGCCCGATGGTCCACTTGCATGGAGGAGGCTGACGAGCTCCTCGCTTCAGACCCCCAGATCCGCCGAGTTTCTACGGACTCCATCCCCGGCATGCCCGTGGTCAAGACCTTGCTGCCGGCCCAGGTCCAGATCATTCGAGCTACTGGTCAACGCCTCACTGCTGCGCTCCGGCGGAAGCGCCCGGCCTCAACCGTGGCTGCCGGCCCGGTGCCTGAGCCCCCACAGGGGCCGAGGAACACGGTGTCAACATTTTCATTCACCAGTCCCTCGCGGCCGGCGAAGCGGGCACGGGTGGAGCCGCCACCCAGGGCTGCTGCCGGCGGTAGTGCCCAACCGAAAGCACCTCCGCCGAAGGTGCCACCTGTGCTGCCTGTGGTTTCGCCCTCATCAGCTTCGGCATCTATTCCATCTTTGCGGCACCACCACCTTTGCCATCGGCTTCACCTCGGGCATCTTCGTCTTCAACCGCGGCAGTTCCTTCGAGCACGCCACCTTCGACCCCCAAAGTCAAGGCCATGCCCTCAGTGCTGCAACCGTCGCCAGAGCGGCCTCAGCACCTGCAGGAGGCGAATGATGCGGCTTTTGATGCAGCGGCCCGGGAACGCTGGCGCCGGCCCGGGCACAGCGGTGCCCCAGAGCCTCCCACGCTCATCTTCCTGGGCGAAGCGGGCAATGGTTCTATCTACTTGGGCGGTCTGCCCACGGACCGGGCCTGGTTGGAGGCCCACCACATCGGCATGAGCCTCAGCGCTATGGACAAGATTGCCGCCGACTGTCGGGGAGGGGTCAGTGCTCGCCAGGTCTACCAAGTCAATGTTCCTGTTGGTCATCAAGGAGCCCTACGTGACCGCCAGTTGAAGTTGGTGCTGCCTATCTTTCTGGCAACCCTGTATTCAGGCTACTCCGTTCTGGTTCATTGCATGGCGGGGGTGCACAGGGCTCCTGTGCTGGCTGGTTTGCTACTTGCATGGATCCGGCGGTGCTCCTTCGAGGAATCATATTCGCGACTGGAGGGCTTGCGGGCTATCGACCGAGCCGGTGTGCTCAGCCGGCGGGGCGGCTCTGATATCTTCAAATGGGCCCGGAACCAGGTCCACATCACCCCACCGGCCCTGCCGAGGTATCCGATTTCCTTCATTACCTCTACCAAAGCAGGATCACACTGGCATGTGGAGCGTGACAACGCGCCCTGGTGCAGATGGCGCCAGCGCAATGCTGCTTATCGAGGCGAAGTCCACCGAGCTCGCAGCATTCATGAGGCCTTGGCCTATGGGCGTGATTTCTGTATCACATGTAAAGCAGTGCTCCCTGGCAATGCCCAGGTCCACTTGTACTAATAACTGCAGTCTTCGGAAACAGCACGCCTACCGGGTAGGCCGAGAGGGCGTCTCGTGTGCTATGCAAGTTTTTGCCTCATGGGGACTCGGCGGACGGCCCGAGGAGTAGGTCCCTAGTCTGAACATCGCTCGAAATTTTATAGTCAGTTCTTGCATGTTTGCTGCAGCGTCTCGTATCCCAGTGAACTCCGGCCTCCACGACCATACCCTGCGCCAATGGACCGGCCTCAGGCGATCCAGTTCGTTGCCGTGACACTGAC